TACCGGGCGCGGCAGGAGCCCGAGGCTGGGACTCCGGCCAGCGCCCTCCGGGTCGCGGTGAGCTAGGGGGCAGTTGGAGATCCTGGAGGTGACCAGGGGGCGGGGCACGGCTGTGGTCCTAAGCTCAGGCCGCCACGCCTTCCCGCGACTCACTGCGCACTACTGTTGGGTCGGGCCGCTCTCTGCCTGCATCCCCAGGTCAGACAAGCGCACTTGGAGCACAAGATGCCCGCGGCGGCTGGCAGCTGTGCCCCGGCCCTGGCCTGGCAGAGGGCATGCAAGCGTTTTCTTCTGGTGCTCCCTGTCTGGGACACTGAGGCACAGTGCAGGCACAGATGAAGCTGATCCCTCCTATGCCCTCTTCTACTTCTGCCCTGCCTAGACACCCCCTAGGTCCCTTTGGACACACCCTTGAATCCTACCTCCATTCCCCTCCCGTCTTTGCTGGGCCTCACTCCTCTGTGGCCCAGCTCCCAGCTTCACATCCAACCACAGCTATTTCCAGGAAGGAGGGGTGTGTGGGTGGGTGGAGGGGTTTCTCCAAACAAACCCAAGGCTTCAGAGTAAGAGGGGGCCCTGCTGAGGAGAAGCAAAAAAAAAAAAAAGCTCTGGAATATTCCAGGCAGGAGGTGGGAAGTGAGGACCCACAGACTCTGTAATGCCATCCCAGCCGTCCCTCAGGCATAGGTTCCCCCATCTCCTTCCAGAAGTACCCCACTCCCGGCAGGGCTCTTGACCAGCCCACATAGTGCCTGTTTAGCCCACAGCTCCCGTTGCAGTCATGGAATGGACACTTTTCTAGGTCTGGGTGGGCAGTGAAAGTTCAGTGGGCCTGGAGGATGTTTGGGGACCTTCCCCAGAGGAGGGGACTTAAAAGTAGGACTTTAAGAAGTAGGGCTATGTACCATAGGTGCAGAGGAAAAATACTGGATGGGAGAAGCCACACTCACCCAGGCACTACAGTGACCCATCTCCCCCAGCAGGGCCGGGTGCTGAATCAGGCCAGGCCCAGTTGCCCACCTGGCCATCGGCCTGGAATGTCCTGGGACACAGCCAGGACTCGGGCAGGGGTTACAGGGCCGCTGGCGCTCTCCGGTTACAGGATGGAGGCACACACCTTGCCGCTCAGGTGCTACCTTCTAGCCAGGGTACACAGGTGACAGGCTTCCTAGAGAATGGGAGCATGTAAGAAGAGGCTCCCCGGGACGGATAGGTCTTCTGGGGTGTCCCAGGGAGCGTAAGGCAGAGGAGGAGGGAGCTCCTGTGGGACCCTGCATAGCCAGAGCTGGAGGAGTCAGTCTCACTGGGGCATTCAGTAAATACCGTGCAAATGAGGATGACAGCGTTTGCATTCTTTCAAGTGACAGCTACAGCATTCCAAAGGCTGCTGTCCAGGGCGCGGGCCGAGAACCCCCAGGCCATTGACCCTTGTTTAGGAAGATTGTTCCATCCTTTCCAAGGCCCCATCCACCTCCTTCCCTTGACTCCTGGGACAGGAAGTTGGCCCTATTCCCAGGAGGGAAGCAGGAGGCCCTAGAGGGGGTGGAGTATGTGTTGGGAGGGGGCCCTCCTGTCCAGTCCTCAGGCCCAGTGACAGCCACAGAGGAAGGAGAGCCAGGCCCAGAAGAGCCATGAAGGTAGTGCTCAGGTTTGGGTGGGTGGGTGGGAGGGGTCCCGGGTGCAGGGGGCTAAGCCAGAAGCTGTGAGTTTTATCCGGAGCACTGGGGTCTTCAGGTGGTGCCCTCCACTGCTTTGGGCTGCAGCAGGATGGACCACTACTGTGGGCAGCTGGGTCTTCTGGCTGGAACTTGGCCTTGAGGAGGGCGCTGCGTGATCCTTTCCCGTCTAACAGGGAAGTTGGCCTTCATTCCTACTTTCTTTCACCCTGAGGATTCTGAGTCCTGGGCTGCCAGGGGTACTGGTTCCCAGCTCCACTCCCTTCCCACAGGAAGTCCCAAGGGAGCATAAGAGTCCAGGCTGGAGACTGGCTAGGGACACAGTGTTCTCCTCTGGTCCTCGAGCCCTGCCCTGAGACCTGAATTCCCACCCTGCCCCACTGGCTGATTCCAGGGCTGGATCTCAGGACCACAGACCCCTACACAGGGTGGGCCACCGGGTGAGAGGCAGTTCCAGAGGAGATGGGGAGAGCCGAAGATCTTGGGCGGACACTCCCAGCAGGGTAGATCCTGGGAATCTGATCTCCTGGCCTCCCCCACATCCTCCCCCACCCCACTTCCTGGAGCAGCGACCTGCCCCCTTCCCGCCTGCACTTCCCTCCACTTCCAGGGCCAGGCTTCTCCACACACCAGCCAGACAGCCTCCCCTCCACCCAAGGGAAGCGGCTGCCTCGGCCAGGCTGCTTCCAGGAAGCCCCAGGCCAGGCCCCAGCATTGTTCAGGCCCTGCAGCCAAGAGCGCAGCCAGCCAGACACCATGAAGTCCAGCGGCCCTGTGGAAAGGTTGCTCAGAGCCCTGGGGAGAAGGGACAGCAGCCGGGCCACCAGCAGGGTAGGAGCGCCCACCAGCTGGGCGAAGGTGGGGAGGGTGGAGGTGCGGACAAGGGGGGAGGGTCAGGATTCAGGCCAGACCCTCTTGCTAGTCTCAACCTCTTCTCTGGCTCCTCGCCCTGCCTCAGTATTCCCCCTCATTCTTCTGGCCCCCTGAGGTGGCCAAGGTGGCTGTGTGATCCTGCCTCAGTGTATTTCCATCTCTGTGTATTTCCCGGCTTGAGCTTGAGTAAGCCCGGGGGTGGGGGGTGGGGGAAGTCCGGCTTCAGCTAAGAACGTAAGTCCTGACCTCCCAGGGAAGCTTGGGAGTAAAGGGATGGAGAGAAGGCAGTGAAAGGTAGGGAGGCGGCCAGGTCTCCAGGCACTCTAACTGGGAGGTTGCCTTCCACTGACGTCATCTGCACATGATGTTATCAACAAGTGAGTCCCGGTGTCCTCGAGGGTCCCACCTCCAGTCCAGAGAGGCGTCCTGGAGAGTGGAGGGACCAAAGCTGCCCCATGTCGCCGTCCTCCCCCTTTGCCTTTCCGAAGGTGTTAACGCTGTGGTGGGCAGATCCAGGGGGAGGAGGGGACAGCGGGAGCTGGAATACAGAGGTGAAAAATCGTACGTGGAGGGAGGCTGCCCACAGACACAGGGTGGGCGGGATGGGCTGAAGTGGGCCTGGGCGACTGGAAGCAGCCCAGCTGCTGGCCTCGTCACCACTGGGTGGGGAGGGGACACACGGAGGCAGCAAGTCAGCTGCTTGTCCGTCCCCACCGTCAGCCCTTCTTGCAGCACGGCCACCACTCCCACCTTATACAACTGCCGCCGGCCGCCCCGACGCGCAAAGAGTAAACATGTTGTTCTGACCGTGGAGGAGGGAGGGCTTGTCAGCTGCCTGGAGCGTGGGGACACTGAGAGCCAGGGGCTCAGGACTGGCTGAAGCCAGTCTGGGTGTTGGGTGACAATGTGCATGTGTGCCTGGGCCGTCAGCTCACAGTACACAAGCCTCATCTGGAGAGGGCAGGGTAGGAAGAGAGTCAGACCCCCTCCCCCCCCTACTCTGCCAAAGTTCGGAAAGCCCTCACATTTGAAGTGGCAGTGGCCAGGACATCACATAGCAGCGCCACGTGAGGGGCCCAAGTGATCCCTCAGGGAGGAGTTGACCCAGCCAAGGTGACGCAAGGGGCCACATTCCAAGCCCCGTAGAGGACAGGCCCCATGACTACCCTGAAACAGCTGCGGCCAAGTGTGCCTGGGAGTTCAGAGGCTTCGAGCTAGAAGAGAGGGAAGCAGCGTGGTTCCAAGGCAAGGTTCCTACCCAGCCTTGGAGATGGGCCCACTAGGAACTCACACCTCTGTCTGTCTGTCACCCCACCCGCAGCCTAGGAAAGCAGAACCACACAGCTTCCGGGAGAAGGTTTTCCGGAAGAAGGCTCCGGTGTGTGCAGTGTGTAAAGTGACCATCGATGGGACCGGTGTCTCGTGCCGAGGTGAGGCGCTCTGCCCGTGTACCCTGAGCCCTCCACTCCATGCCACTGTGCTGTGAGGCTCCCTCCAGGAGCAGGCAGATTCACGGAGCAGAAACAATACCCCCTCTCACCAAAACATCCACCGTGCCACAGCTCAGGAGATTGGTGACTCTGCCACCTTCCCATCCTCACCTGTGACTAAGGGGCTTTCCTCCCTCCTCACCTCCATTCCTAGGCCACAACCTCTGGCCCTCTTCCCTGACTCCGGAGCAGAACCTGTCCATACGCTGCCCTGCTCACAACTCCGGCAATCTAGTGTTGCCCCAGGGTTGGCCTTCAGGACCTGGGGAAGTGGAGGGTGGCCCTTTCCCTGCTCCCATAAGCCTCCGCTAACCTCTTTCCTCCCTTCCCTCTCTAGTCTGCAAGGTGGCCACACACAGAAAATGCGAAGCAAAGGTGGGTACCTGGTCCTAGTTGAGGGGGGATGGAATCCTTTCACTGCCCAGACACTAGCTGAGGGGGATCGAGTCCTTTCACTGCCCAGACAGACAGTCTTCTTTACCCACACTGGCACGGTTCCTCCACTCAGTCCCATGTCATTCCTAGAGACCCCTCCTGGGTGGCAGGGGGGTTGTGCTGGGCCCTTTAAGAACCACCCTACTCCACCCCTGGAGGGTTGGCCTAGGAGGGTGGACAGTGAGACAGCGTTTGTCTTGGTGCAGTGCCCAGGCTGCAGCTGGCGAGAGGATGGGGGGGGGGGTGGAGAAGGAGGAGGAGGAAGGGCGGGGTGGATAGAGAGGGAGCAGGATTTCAGAGACCAGGCGCGGGGCTACACTGTGCCTTTCCGCTGGGGAAGGGTCCTCAGGATGCCTGAGTTGATCTTATCCTGGGTGCTGGAAGGGCTGGGCCTCTTCAGGTACATACACACCGTAGGTGGTACCCACTGTCCACCAAGCAGCATTCCTGGGGAGTATGTGCCCATGGGTGGGGTCTCAACGGTGAAAGAGGCTAGTGTCCACCCCTGGCCATTGCCTGCCTGCCTGCCTCTATATATAACTCCTGTCCTGCAGCTGGATGAATGGGGGTCTGTTTGGGCAGGGGGCTGAGAGCCAAGAGCAACAAGCAGGGGGCCTGAGAGGTGGGGGACCGGGAGGCCAGGAGCAAGGCTCCCTTAAATAGCGGAACCTCCACTGGAGCCTGTACTCATCAGCTGACAGCCCCTCCACCTTCCCGCTGAAGCCGGGCACCCCATTTCGCCAGCTCCGTCCCTTGTTCCCATCTCCCTCCAGGTGACCTCATCCTGTCAGGCCTTGCCCCCTGCGGAGCTGGTGAGTGTGCTCTAGGATGGGGCGGGGAAGGCAGGAACCTGACTGGCGTCCAGAGGTCTGGTGGTCTCAGAGCGGGTGTCCAGGAGGTTACCTAGAACTGAGCGCTGTGGTTATTGGCCAGTCATCCGAAGAGATGACTTCCAGCTCTTGGCTGTCATTGTCCACTAGGGCCTGCTGGGGGGCTGGAGTCCTCTCTCTTACCCCAGGGAGTAGACGCAGACATGCCCTCCCACCCCCACCCCCAGGTCCAGACCTAGTCATTGCCCTGGCCCTAACCACTCCCATTTCCTCCCCCACCTTCCCCCTTCTAGCGGAGAAACACGGCCCCGGTCCGGCGCATAGAACACCTGGTAAGGGATGCTAGGGGCCTGGGCGGGGAGGGGCGCGTGGGTAGCTTTTGGGGAGACCACGGTGTGTGGAACTTTGGACTGGGAAGCCTAGAAGAGATGCATCCGAAGAGATGTCTGCTACGGTTTCTCATCCACCAGGGGTCCACCAAGTCTCTGAACCACTCAAAGCAACGCAGCACTCTACCCAGGTGAGTGAGGGCCCCTGGCGACCCCGCGTGGGCACTCTCCACCGGACCCCCACTCAGCTCATGGCAGTGGCCCCCAATAAGACACCCCAGGGCAGTGCTCCCCCTCCAGACCACGCACCCTCAGGAGTTAGCAGGCCTCAGCGCTCCCCAAGACCCTTCTTCTTATACTAGCCCCGTGGGGCGCCTCGCCTCTGTCCCCTAACTCAGCTTTGCGACCTCTCGCAGGAGCTTCAGCCTGGATCCGCTCATGGAGCGTCGCTGGGACTTGGACCTCACCTACGTGACCGAGCGGATCTTGGCCGCGGCTTTCCCCGCGCGGCCGGACGAGCAGCGACACCGGGGCCACCTGCGCGAGCTCGCCCACGTGCTGCAGTCCAAGCACTGGGACAAGTACCTGGTGAGGAGCGGGTCGGCCAGGTTCGACCAATGGGAGGGCCGGCCGGGAGGTCCAAATAGGCAAGGCTACTGTTTGCCATCCATCCCTGAGATGGGACTGGCAGAGGGCGGTGTTAGTGTGCAGGGGCGGGGCGGGGCGGGGCGGGGGGCGGAGCCTGAGCTCAGTCCCGCATGCAGCAGCTCCCGAGAATCCA